CCCCCACCCCATCCCCCTCCACCCCATCCCCAGCTTGCCCTCGGTACAACCCAGGCCCCGCGACCCCATGCCACAATGGCCCGGGAGATGCTTTGCTTGCTTCACGGGACGCCGAGAGGCTTTTCCGGTGAGCATACTCCCGTCCATCACAAGCACCGGAGTTGGGTGGGGCCTTTTCTTTTCACCCCCGGTCATGACTCGAGAGAGAGAGAGAGAGAGAGAGAGAGGCTTTTCCGGTGAGCATACTCCCGTCCATCACAAGCACCGGAGTTGGGTGGGGCCTTTTCTTTTTCACCCCCGGTCATGACTCGAGAGAGAGAGAGAGAGAGAGAAAGAGAGAGAGAGAGAGAGAGAGAGGCTGAGTGGGGGGCGATGGACCGCTCAGGATGCTTCTGCGCTCGGGTAACCCGCCCGCACTTTGGAACAGCCCAAGCACTTGAAATTCAGTCTTCTCCCTCCGGGTGTTGTCGCAAGCATGAGCCCGTGCCATGGGTAGATCGAGCGCGGGCGTGCTCGAGCGAGAGAGAAAGAGAGAGAGAGAAAGAAAGAGGGAGATGGGCAGATACGGTCAGAGGCCAAATCCCAGGAGGGGCTCTCGCGCTGTGGCGACTCATTAATTACCAAATTAACCCCCAGACACGGCCCCACACTGACCGATGGTGTTGGCTCCTCAGGCCCTCGTCGTCACCGCCCTTCCGCCTCCATACAGGCTGCTGCTGCCCGGCAAATGGCCCCACATCCACCCTGGCACGTTGGGCGCGACTCAGGCACCAGCCCCCTTCGACATGGGGCCACCACAGGCTAGAGGCCTTTGGGCGCAGCTGGGGGGTCGGGGGGGGCGGGGGAGCTTGCAAGGTTGGAGGGGAAGGGGGCCCGTCTCACACGGAGGTGTACAGCCCAACACACGCAGGGGCGATGTCGGGAGGTGGGTGGGAGGGGGGCGGGGGGCGGGGGGCGGGGGGCGGGGCGGGGCGGGGCGGGGGACGGGGGGGGTCCCTCCAAAGAGAGCTGGGGAAACCCCCGCCCGGGGCTCACGGCCCTGGGGGCGGGGGAGGAAAAGGGGCCGAGGAGGAAAGGGGGCCAGAGGGGCTCTTTCACGCGCCGGCCAGCCGATGGCCTCCGCCCACCACCACCCCGGCCAGGCCGGAGCACATCGGCCGCACAACCCTCATTCGCCGCAGCTTTGCCGCCCGCGCGCGCGCGCGCGCGCGCGTGTGTGTGCGCACACACCAGGCATCCCTCGCTGGTGACCCTGCTGGCTACCCTGCTCCCGCCACCCACTTATCTGCCGCCACTGCTCCACTTGGCCCTTGGCATCCTGGGCCTCCTGCTGTTTGGCTTGCATCGTGCTTGCGCCGCCGCTTGGGCATCCCTGAAGGGGCAAAGGGTCCCTGGTACTTCAGCGATCGAGAGAGAGAGAGAGAGAGAGAGAGACGGAGAGAGAGAGAGAGAGACGGAGAGAGAGAGAGAGAGACGGAGAGAGAGAGAGAGAGAGACGGAGAGGGGCTACTTCGCTCGCTCCCTCCAACTCGCAACCCATCGGTACCCAATCGAGAAACGGGCGCGTATCGCAGCACGAAGTGGCGAGGCCTTGGGCGGCAGCCCCTCCCAACAATCGGGCTCTTGCCTGAAGGTGTATAATTGCACATTCACACACACATGCACATGCACATGCACAGGCAGACCTTTCTACTTCAGCTTGCCCAGTTTTCTCGTCAACCGAAAAAGACTCCGTCTAAGGATGGATCTATTGTGTCATGCAACATGGCACAGACACCGCCCTCTCTCCATGCGCATCAAAAAAAAAAAAAAAAAGGAGGGCGGAAGAGGAACAAAGGCAAGGGAAGCCGGCCGGCCTACGGTCGGCACACAAGGGAAACGAGCAAGTGGGTTACAGAATATCCATGCACGTGACAAGGTCATGGACCGGTTCGCCATAGATGTCGCGTGCACGGCGCGGCATCACATGCGCCGACCCGTAGACCGTGGCCAGGAAGAGCCACAGATGGTGGCTCACGCAAATGTAATGCCGGCCAAGAACCAGGCCGGGCCGCAGCGGGGGGGACAGCCGCGCGCCGGTGCTACAGGCATGGGCCGCCGAGTGGGCAGCTGCCGCGGCCGGGCCGCCTGGGGGCGATGGCGGGGACGGTGCAAGGAGCGAAGCGAAGTTGATCTGCCCCAGATGATGATGCCGATAGGGGACCAAGCGGGACAAGTGCCGGAGCCAATGCCGGGCCCAGTCCATCGGCAGGATGAAGAGAACACCGACAGACGACTCGAGGGCCCGCGGCCAGAGGGAGGGACAGGCCGCGAGGCCACACGGGCCGCCGGCCGCACCGTGCTGATGCCCATGCGCATCCACACCGCCCACGGTCCCGAGAGACGAATCACTTGAGGCCGACCGCGACAGGCTCATGCTGGAGGAGGAGTCGGTCGTGGCGGCGGCGGCGGCCGCCGCCGCCGCCGCCGCCGCCGCCGCCGCCGCCGCTCCAGCCCCAGGCAGCTGCATGGCTGCCAGAATCTGATCCAGCGTATCAAGGTCGAAGGGGGCCTGCGGGGAAAGGGACAGCAGGAACTGCACGGCATTCAACTCGGCCACATTTCGCAGCAGGAGCTGGTCGCACAGGAGACAATGCCGACGGTTGAGATTCGACCGGGGATACCAGGCCGGGACCAGCGTCGACGTGAAGCCCAAACCCCGGCCAGGGGAGTCCTCCGGCGCCGGCGAGTAGAGACCCGTGGAGTTGCTGCCGGCACCGCTGCTGCTGCTGCTGCTGCTGCTGCTGCTGCTGCCATGGCCATGGCCCAGACCACCGCCAACGCCCCAGAGGGGGTGCGATGGCGAAGGCGAAGCCGGACGCACATCCGGCGACGAACCCAGCGAGGGCGAAGAGCGGCATGCCGACGATGCCCCGGCGCTCGGGGATCCAGGCCGCTCGCTGGTCGGGGAGACCGTCGAACGTGGCGGCTGCTGGGACACATGGTGATGGGGATGATGCTGGTGCTGGTGCTGGTGATGATGATGGTGGTGATCGTGGCCCGGGCCGGCGGCCGAGGGGTCACCACCGACACCCCCACCCAGCCCGACCGGGTGGTAGTCCGACGAGAAGAAACTACCCAGGCCGGGGATCGGGATGAGGCGCCCGGATTGCGCACCGCCATGGCCGGGCGGCGGGTATTGCCCGCCGGCCAAGGCCGTAAGGCCCCACTGCGCGGTGAAGGCCGCAAACACCTTCGGCGGCACAGCCACAAAGACATCGGTCGCCAGGAGCGGCCGACTGAGATTGACAGACACGCAAATGTCCCCGTCAGCCAGGTCGGCCGTGGCCGCCGGGGTGGCCACCATGTCGGCCGACAGCATGACCGGGCAGGCCGAGGGCCGGCCGAACACCGAGAAGGAGGAGGCAATGCTGCCGGAGGCCGCATCGCCACAGGGCAGGGTGCCCGACGGCCCGGCCACCAATGGGGAGTAGCTCCCGGCACCGGCCGGATAGAGGAAGGACTCGACCGAGGCACTGGCCAGCCGGTGGACCGACGACGACGACGACGACGACGACCCGGCCGAGCTGACAAGCCGGCAAGCACAGCCGGGCGGACAGGCACCCGAGTCAACCTCCGCCATCGAGGGGGACGAGCTGTGCTGCCCGTCGTCCGGTGATGACAGCCTCAGGGACGGCGACCCGCCGGCGGAATGATTGACCGCCGCCAGGGCCGGACTACTGGCAGACCAGGGAGACCCGTCAGCCGGCGGCGACCACCGGTCGGCCGAAGCAGCAGCAGCAGCACCGCCACCAGGCCGCAGGCCGGCTCCCCCACAGGCCCCGGAGGCCGAGGCAAAGAGCGAGCCACACAGCAGCCCGGCCGCGATGTGACCGATGGAGCTTTCCAGGAAGGACACATGCTTCGGCAGGAGATTCGACCGAATGAGCGACGACCCGTGGGGACAGAGCAGCGGCCGGACGTCGATTTGCCCCGGCGAGCCGGACCCATTCTTCCAGAGGTTGAACCACCGAAGTGGAACCAGCACCCAATGCCCATGCGCCGGGGGGAGGATGGCCCCGCTGCCGGGGGCCGGGCGAAGGGGCGACTCGTCGCGCGAGGAGGCCGACGACCGCCGAGCCGCCGCGGCCGCCGCAGGCCCGCTGCCCATCGCCCCGCCGGCCGACGCCAATGAAGAGGACGACCCCATGGCCGCCACCGGTGGCGGGATCTGGGAATGTGGGAGAACCGGCCCGCCGGTCGAGGGCTTGCGCGACCCCGGGGGTGGCATCGAGCTGCTGCCGGACCGATGGCGCGACGAGTCAACCCCCGAGGATGACCGATCTACGCGTGAAAGACGGCCGCCAACTTCCCCAGGAGGCCGAAGCTCAGGCGACAGGGGCCGGTTGCCCTGGCTCAGGGCGGACAGATGCTCGTGCGAGCTGGCAGAGGAAATGAGCGATGTGGAGCGCATGTTGTTGTTGCCGCCGCCGCCGCCGCCGCCGCCGCTGCCACCAATGGGCGTGGGTGATTGGCCGGTCGGCAGGAAAGACCCGCTGTGAGCACGCTCGGGCCACCACCAATCGGAAGACAAGCGCACCGGCCGAGGAATGGACAGAGGAGCCGTGCGCCCGGAGCGCCGGGCTCCACGCTGAGCTTCGTTTGCCCGGCGCCAGGATTCGAGCCCCGTCGTGGCCGGGGGAGAGTCCCCGCCAGCGCGGGGCTCCTCATCCTCGGAATCCGAGCCGGAGTCCACGCTGTCGAGGCCCGATCCGGAGGACCGGTCCTCATCCTCCGAGGCCCCGGGGGAGGGGGGCGGCGAGGCGTCCGGCGAGTGGTCCAAACAATCGACGAGGGCAAAACGCTCATGCCGACGAAGCTCGGCCACCAGCTTGCCAACAGCCCGCCGGCAGGAGGCCAACGGCCGGCGCTTGTAAATCAGGATGCACGGGTCGCCGGTGTGGCGCGACGCCCGGGTCAAATCCGACGAGGAGGACGCCTCGAAGACCTGCTCATTGTCGAAGGCATACCAGTGTCCGGTGGCCAGATTGCGCGAGTAGGTGACAAAGTGCCCGGGGGCCGATTCGCCGAAGGGCATCTGCCCGAGCATCGCCGTGTCCATGTGCCCCGGGCCGCAGGTACACCGGGCCCCAGCCGACTCGGCCAGGCAATGGTAAAACCCGCCGCGAGAGAAATCATGCCCAGCCGGCCGGGGAATGGCCCGGCAGGAACACAGGTCGTCCCCGCACAGGACCAGCCCCTCGCCGAAGGGCGAGCCAGGAGAGGGGACCCGGCCGGCCGGAGTGGCGGTGCCGGGCCCGGAGGGACCCGAAGGAAGCGGCCCCGGCTCCGAGGCCGGAGCCTCGGCACAGATAATCTGCGTGGGTTTCACCGGGACCGTGCACGAAGACAAGTGCGTCACCATGGACACCAGGTCATAATCCGAGGAGTCGGCATCCGCGTGGGGAACACGCACGCGAAATTCCGCCACATCGAGCCCGCGCAGGGGGAAGCGCAATGAACTGAAGTTCTTCAGCTGCCGACTCCGGGTCCCGGCCGGGTGTGGCTGCGGGTGGCCCGGCGCCAGGGGGTGTGGCGCCATGCTGCTTGTGTGGCCGCCGCCGCCGCCGCCGCCGCCGCTGCCGGGACCCGCGGCGAAGAAGGACTTGCGTCGAGCCCCGAGAGCCGGCGGCTCCGTCGAGAGGGGAGGAGGAGGGGACGCGGTCGCCGTCGAGTGAGCATCGGCCGCCCCTTCGGCAGGGCGACCTCCGGCCGCCGGAGAGTCCATGCCGCCGGACTCATCGGGTCCAGCATCGGGGGCCTCGTATTGGGCGGCGAAGAAGCGCGGTAGATGGATGATGAAGAACTCCGGCGGGATGAGCAGGTGTCGAGTGCGGCTGTGCGCGGTCTTGGCATTGCAGCCGGAGCAGTGGAGCCCTGAGCTGGCAGTCACCGGGATGATCTCCGTGGAGAAGAACTCCTCCAGGCAGTCAATCAACCGGCAGTCGCTTGCACTGGATTTGCACAGGAGGGGGGAGGGGGGAGGGGGAGGGGGCAAAGCAATGGAGAGAGGGAGAGACAAAGGGAGACAGATGTGCATCAGTGGATGGAAGAACAATCAGGAGGGGGGTATCGGAAAGGCAGGCCGGCCACGGGAATGTGCAGAAGGAGAAAAGGACTACACGCACTTGAACACCTGGCTCTTGATCTTACGCCACTTGCTGGTGAGTTTGCTGAAGTTCGTGTCGACCACCGGCTCGAAGCAGGGGGCGCCCCGGGTGGCGGAGTAGGGACACTTGCGAGTGACGCCGGACGGAGAACCGTGGCCCGCGGCGGCGCCGGGCGGAGCGGCCACACCACCGGCGGCATGGAGCACGGGCGACGACGATCCACCCGACGCCAGGCCCGGGATGACAGTGGCCACGGCCTCGACCGAGTGCTCACAGAATGGCTGATCCCGCGAGGGGAGCACCGTTCGGGCCGGATGCGTGGAGTAGAAAACCCCAAGCCGGTGCTGGATCTTGCGTTGGTAGGCCGCGGCATCGGCATCCACCAGGGGGATGTTCAACTCGAAGAAGCGCGACCGGCTGGAGGACACACGCTTGCAGCCGAGGCAGAAGTACTGCAACAGCAAGACACCCCCGAATGTGTCGCTCACCACGCTGGAGTTCGAGGAGAAGGCCATCTTCGAGGGGAGCTTGTTGGAGCTGCCGCTGGAGGTCAAGTAGGCCGAGGCGTCGGCCCGGCACCGGGCACAGCCCCGCTCCGATTGGAGGCTGCAGTCGGCGCACGACAGGCAGGAAGTCGCCCGCGAGTAGGCCTGCAGATCCGGGAGCTTCAGGTCATCATGGAGGCTGCGCAGGAGGAGCTGCAACAGCAAGAAGGCATCCTCCATGCGTGCCGGGTCGCCGGCCGGCGCCCGCGAAGCGGCCGAAGACCCGGAAGAGGCCGCCTCCCCCAGCAGGAAGGGATACCGCGCACGCACGGCCGACAGCAGCCTTTGCGAGGAGATGACCGGGCTTCGAGGCGACCAAGGGAAGGCAACATCCGTTGGCATCGATGGGGCCCAGGGCAGTCGAGCAGACGGGGCACAAGGGAGACAGAGAGGGAGGGGGAGGAGGAGGAAGAGGAGGGGGACATGGTCAGCCGGCAGCACAAACACCACAGCAAGAGGGGCAAATGCCCCGGCCGCGTACCGATTGACGTGCCAGTAGCTGGCCACAAAGTCCACGAAGGCCCCGGTGACAGTGGGATGCCGCGAGGCGAAGAGCTTCAGGTACCCGGGCGCATGCTTGAAAAATCCCACCAGGATGTCGCTGCGAAGGCATACCACCGTCAGGAGGAGGGTCGGCGAGGTGGGAGAAGGGAGGGCAGCGGGGGAGAAAGCATGCTGCGACACATACCACGCCATCAGCGCCTGGAGGATGGCATTAAAGTGGCTGTCCTTGCCGGTGCTGGAGAGGCCCACCAGGCCGATGAGACGCGAGAGGGCTGTCTGCGACAGGACCGAGCCCGGGGAGGAAAAGGGATCACGCCCGCCGGAGCTACCGATTCCCAGCCGATCATGGCCAGCCGTCAGCAGAAGGAAGCTCAGCTGGAAGGGCAGGCGAATGCGGCTAAGGAGCTCCCGCATGCGAACCGCCTCCGGGAGGAGCCACACATCAGTGATATGGTCCCAGATGGGGATGAGCTTGGCGCAAATGTGGCACCAGACGGTGCGGTCAAAGAGCCGCACTGCGATGCAGTGGGAAGTGGGCTCGCCGGTTGCCAACCCAATCAGGTCGGTGCTGGAGGACAGGGCGACTTCGCTCTCGGAGTCTGTGGCAGGTGTGGCAGGGGAGGGTCAGGCGAGGTGGGCGCGGGAGGGCCAAAGAGGATGGGGTGAGAAATACCAAGAGGAAGGGCCAGGAAGAAAGGGAGAAAGGGGGAGAGAGAGAGAGAGAGGAAGCGGGTAGACACAAGCAGCGGTGGGGAATGGGGGCAACGGACCAGAGACCGGCTCATGGAGGTGCTGCGAGGCGCTGGCCGAGCTGGCACCGGCCAGCCCCGGGGACAGGGCGGCGGCTGACATGTGTGCGAAGTGCTGAAGGGCATGATTGTTGACCTCACGCCCACAGGAGATACTCATGCAGTCGGCCTGGTGATGGTGAGAAGGGCGACAGGATGCAGAGCCGACACGCGGTGAGTGACAGGGCAATCGGAAAAGACAGAGAGACAGAGAGAGAGAGAGAGAGAGAGAGAGAGAGAGAGACATTCGCACCTCGGTGCACACCCACAGGTGCTGGTATGAAGCTGGGCAGTCGGTGCAGGTGAGCTTCGATGCGGCGGACACCTGGTGGAAGAGACGCTGCAGGTCGCCAAGCCGCTGGCGGAAGGAGTGGAAGTCCACCAGCGACAGGTGCGGGCAGATGTGCGACGCCACCTCGCGAGCGGCCGTATGCGACAGGTCATGGCTGGCGGCCAGCATGGCCAGGAAGGAAGTCGAGTGCAGTGAGCCGGGAAGCGGGCGGCCAGGGGACTCCGACCGATCGAGGGAACTCATGCGTGACAAGCGCCGGGCCGCTTGGCCACTTGTGCCCGACCGGGGAAACCGGGCAGCCGGCGAGGTAGGGCTACCGCCCTCCGGAAAGGGGTGGTGGAGGGGACCGGCGGTTGACAGGGCGACGCTCGACCGGCGGCTGCGACTCTGGGCGATGAGCGGCTCGAGCAGCGGGTCCGGTGGGTTGAGGAAAATCTCGCCGACAGAGGCCCCGGCATCGGGCGGCTTGGCGACCGGGCCAGGAACGGTCGAGGCGCCGGCAGCGGCCCCGACCACCGCCAGGGGGACATCTCCGACGGGGGGGGCAGCCCCATCGGACGAAGGCCCGATCGGGGGAGCATCACCGGGGACGGGGGCAGTCAAGGCTGGCGGGTCCATCAGCGCCGCGGCCCCCGGGGCCATGGGGATCTGAATGGACAAGGATCGAGAGCGAGCGCCGCGAGCGGGCGTGGGAACGTCGAAAGCCGGGGCCGCCGGGCCAACCGGCGGTGCGGCTGGAGGCTGAGGCACACTGCCGGCCGCAAGCTCCGACATCTGCCAGGGAACAACAGGGGCAGCCTCTCTCGGCACGGTGATCGGCAGATTGACAGCCGTGGGGGCCGGGACGATTGGAGTGGTCAAGGTGGTGGTGGCCGGAGGGGCGGTGGCCGGAGGGGCGGCGGCCGGCGACATGACCGAGGCGGCGGCCGGGGTGCTGGCTCCCGCGGTCGGGGAGATGAGTGCCGCCACAGCGGCATCGGTGGCCGCGGAGATGACGCGCGACAGCTCAACGATGTCCAAAGCCGGCGCGCCACCTGCCGACTGGGACCCGGGGGCACTGGCCGCCTGTAAGGCAGCCATCATGGCGGCGATCTTCACTTGGGAAATGAGTTCCTGGTTGATGGGCCCAGGTGAGGTGGCGGCGGTTGCGGTCATCGGGGAGGCAGATGCCGCGACCACAGCACTGGCTGTGGCAGCGGCCGCCGCGAAGGCAGTCGCCTCGACGGGTGTAGCAGCCTCGCGGCTGGCCGGTGCCCGGGCGGTCTCGCCAGCGCCGGGACTCGGCGCCAGCGGGCCTGTCGTGGCCGTCGGTGTGTCCATGCCTTCGTGCAGAGGACCGGGAGGGGAGGAGCGGTGAGCGAGGTCAGCAAGGCGACCAGAAGAGGAGCAAGGCGAAGGAGCGAGGAGGCACGCACGGAAAGCCGGAAATACAGATCCACCAACCGTCGGGGGGGGGGGGGAGGCAGGAGGAGGCTTTCCGCGGGACGCGCGGCGATCGGCGCCCAGCAGGCAAAGGAGGGAGGGCAGTGGGAGAGGAGGAGGAGAGAGAGGGGGGGGAGGGGGGGCGCGGCCTCAGTGGGCGGCGGTGGGGGCGGCACCGGTGAGGCGATCTATATAGGGGTGGGAGAGGACGGGGGTCCACCACTGGGCGTTTGACTCGAGGAGGGGGGTGGTGCTGACACAGTGGTTGCTGGGGGAGAACATCAGATCGGCGTCCTCGTGGAGACGAAGTGCTGCCGCTCGCTTGCGACGCGGATGGTGGTGATGGTGGTGGTGGTGGCGGAAGGACGGCTAGTGTGCGACGGGAAAAGCGGGCAAGGGGGGGG